ACAGCTGTGTGTGAAATGCTGCAAAACCTGCTGGGCTTCTTACTGCACGCAAGATTTCTAGATGTTTTAGAACATGCTCTCTAGGTACTTGAAGGAGGGGAAGGAAACCCTCAAAGGGAAAAGACATGGATATTGCACAATCAATCATGGTAATCATCCATGTGTGCAAGCCTGTGGTCATGTAGGGTGGCTGAAGCTCAGGTGTTCATTCCTGATCTCTGATGTGGACTCCTGAGGCATGTTTCTGTTTCCCAGGCTAACAGGCAGTACTTGCAGTATAGGTGTTGACTCTTTGTAGGATCCTGCATGTTCCTTGGGGAGCCTCAGTTAACAGCAGTTGGAAATGGTGATGGTCATCAGGGGACACTGCTGGCATTCACTGTAGCATTTGAAACAAAGATGTAAATTTACCTTAACAGTAATTAAGCGTTTGTTTATGAAGAATAAGATGTTGTTTTTTTTTCACAGTTCAGATGGCGGTAACAGTGTGAAGAGGTTGAAACTAGATACTGATCATGATGAAAAGAATCAAGGTATGTCCTGATTTCTGCAAGTGGGAAGCTGTCTGTCTCTCACCTGAACAGGAACTGACTTGGTGTTAAATCTGACAGAGGAATGCTTTTCTGCTCCTTCATTATGCAAGACAGCACAGACTGCGGTTGGCATGTTCTCTCTTACAGCAGTAGAAATGGTAGCTTTGGGCACAGCCTTCATAGAAAATAGGGCTGGAGGGAACCTCTGCAGGTCATCAGTCTATCCCCTGCCTAAACCACTCCTGACAGATGTTTGTCTAAGCTGCTCTTAAATCTCCACTGATAGAGATTTTGCACCCTCCTTAGGCAGTTTATTCTAGTGCTTAACTGATTTTACCCTTGTTGAGTTTTACTTGATGACTAATAGGAGTCTCCATAGCTGCATTTCAAACCTGGTGCTTGTCCTGTTGACAGCAGACATGGAGAACGGACCATCCCCTTCCTCTTCACAGCAGCATTTGATGTATTTGTATACCTCCACTATCAGCTTTTCATGCTATGAAGTGATCTTGTCCATCCTGAAACCAGTTTGTTTCACAAAATTATGGGGAACTAGAAGGAAAATTAAGTTGCATTTCAGTCTTAGCTGTCAGGGCTGCAATTGACTTGCTGTCAAGATACTCTGACACAAATAGGGTGAGCTGCAATTGTGTAATGACAACCCAAGGCACTTCCTGAATCTCCTTCTGTTCAGTAAACTTTCAAAACACTGGAAATAATTAATTAGCTGTGGAAGATGGGAGACGTTGACTAGCAGAACGATGGAATAAAACTTTTCCCTAAGTATGCTGTTACATTGCAAAAAAATATTCAACTACACAAAGCAGAGCTATTTATTCTTATTTAGTGGGTTTGGTATTTGACAAGCATCAAACTGACAACTTCAGAAGAAAAATCTGTAATGCAAGCGTTAGAGCTGGGCTTAAACTAGTGATGAGAAAAAAATAAAAATCCCCTGAGGTAGCAAGTCCTTCCTGTCAGAATAGCTTTATTGCAGCATAAGGCTGCCTTATGCTTTAATTAAATCCTGCAATCATCTACCGGTGATGCGGCAGTAGCAGGTGAACGACACGCGGCAGTTCCTGGGCTGATTAAATGCCTTTTCCTGCGCTCTGGTTTTTGACTGAGGTACCTCTCTTTCAGAAAAACCATCCTGCGTTCCCTTGGGGAGCAGCTCGGCGGGAGGCTCCACCGTCCACTGTCCCTCAGCAGCCGTGTGCATTGGGATCCTGCCTGGCCTGGGCGCCTACTCAGGAAGCAGTGATTCGGAGTCCAGCTCGGATAGCGAAGGCACTATTAATTCCACTGGAAAAATCGTCTCTTCTGTCTTTCGTAGCAACAGTTTCTTTGATGGTCCATAACAAAATCCCTCCGTGTGTAATGTAGTGCAGAGTATCTTCCGAAGCCCTGATGGATGCTTGATGCATCCTTCTGCCCCAAATATAATCCTTTAGCTAACCTCTCAACTTTAATATGCTTGGATACTCCTAAAATAACTCATTTTATCTTTCTCTTTTTTTTTTTTCCACAACTTTTCATTTCTGGCGTGCAAACTGAGCCTGGAAGAAAGGCTGCCATCCTAAACCAGAAGGCACACCTAGTAATGTGCTGAAGGTCTGAGGGTAGGGAGGAGAGAGCTTTATCTTTTAAAATTCTTACAGGAAGAAAGAATTCTAAGAAGTTTATACAAGACTAACAGGCAAAAAATACTTGAAGCAATGAAAGCTTGTAGAAACAACCATGTGTTCTGTTTTAAAATGTCATTTTTATTCTGTATTTGAGAAATGGGGGCAGTACAAAAATCAAACAGATGGTGAAGTGTAGATTGCCATGACACTGTAAAGAAGTTTTAGTGTTACATGATTAAAGACATTTGAATGCATTTTTTATCTCAGCATGTGCCATTCATAATTGTTCCCGTTCCATTAAGCAATTTCTCCTCTACCCAGCCAGCCCCTTCCTCAAACCACCATCCAGAAGAAATGCAAGCCCTGCCTCCTGCAAATGCAGAGATGGTGATGGAAAATTGTTCTGAGTGAGTTGAGGAGCTGCAGCGGTGTCCTGGAAAGCACAAGTCCAGAGGAGGTGGGATACCCCGGTTCAGCCAAACCTCTTTGTGCAGAAGCTGGAGAGCTGCACCATCCTTTCAAGTGGTTTTTGAAGCTTTTTTGGATTTGAGAAACCCTACATGAGCATGTTTATGGGTGGTGTGGACCAGGCATGAGCACAAATTAGGCTGTGAAAGCTGAGGGCTTTTTCATCTCTGTGTGCAAACAGCGCTAACTGGAGGTCGTTGGGTTGGAACAGCTCAGCTTGACTGCTTGGAGGTGGAAATGTCTTTGTGACAGTCTCCCTCGCAGCAGTCCTGCTCTGCGTACCATGCTCCAAAGTGTATGTGGTGAGAAAACAGCTGATCCGTGCGTACCAAAAGGCAGTTATCTGAACGTGATGCTAAGCAACTGGTAAGAGCTGCTGGGATACAAGCAGTGAAACCTGAAGGCCTGTAGCGGGATTCGTGCCTTAGCTTGAGTGTTGAACTTTCCCAAAGGAAATGACGAGAGTTATGCTCACACTGAAGCAATCCTTAGCCAAATGCCTTTTCTGTTTGCACAGCCCTGTTCAACAATCGGATCCTTACAAACACACTGCAGTTCCTTCCCCCCTTTTGGGCTGCCTGGCACCTCTTGTGTTTGCTCTGAAGTTGCTCCTGCCTCTTCTCTGGCTACTGTGACTATGGTGCTTGCAGGTGGAGAAGAGCTAGAGCTCTTGCTGCCTCCCTAATGCTTTGCTTTTGATGGCTGTGGGGTGAAATGGAAGCGGTACACAAAAAAAATGCCTGTTTTTCTTGAAAGTTGCATTTGCAAGAGCCTTGAGCAGGTGGAGGGAAAGGTGTGGGTGTCCTTCCCTGGCATTAAGCTGGATCAATAATCTCTCTGTAGAGTCAGAACAGCATGGCCTGGCTGTGAGCATGTTAGGGCCATTTTCCCAAGTGATATTTTGCACAACTGCAGTCAAAAGGGTGGATTTACACAGAAATTTATGGTGGTTGTAGGCAGCCAGTTTCAGGCAGACATTGTCATGGTCCACAGGGGCTGCAGGTGAGACTGGGAGAGGGCGCTGGTTATGTTGGACCACGCAAGGCCAGGGGGAGATGTAATTTGGTAAAAGCAGGCACGAGGGCCCCCTGCTTTCCTCTTAGTTCCCCAAAGAGTAGGAATGGGACGCTTGGGGAATGCCTTTAGCTCACACAAACCTTGGAGTCTGAGTCATCTCTGCTGTTCTCATGGTGTCACCCCTTTAAACAGAACTGTCCCAGCAAATCACTCCATTCCTTGTTCCCAGTGTGGTCTTAAGGACATGAAGAGTGCAAGGGATAGAGGATAAATCAGACCTTCTGGAAGCAGCAGCTGTGCCATAACCTTGCCCTGAGGCCGATGTGCTGGGGGAAGAAGGAGCAGCTCTGTCATTCAGTGGTGGATTTAGATTTTTGTTGTTGTTTTGTTTTTCAGGACTCTCTGTGCCATGACTACATAGCGTTTGCTTCATCCCCTCCCCAGGGGCAGCTTCATCAACTTTGTGTTGTCTGAGTTGTTAAAGCTTCAGAGAGGTGTTAAA